GATATGTGGCTAGTTCACCAAAATTCCACCAAAATTGAACGTAAAAATATTTTTCTCTGTTTCACTCTCTTTTCCTCTATTTCACTCCAATGGAGAGATTCTAAGAACTTAAGGTCAATGGCAACAATTATAAATCAAAGCTGGGCTCTGGCTCAAAGAAAAAGCCCCCAGCAACACCCAACACTGATTAACTCTACGGTTACTAGGTTTTTTGGACAGGCTGTTGGCTTATCTTTCAAAATAATCGGGGAAATAAACTCTTAAGTTATTCTTAAAGATCGTTCACTATAGAGGGATATGAAGAGATATTTCACTCCAATGAGAGTCAAAATTTTTGGCTGCGGCGCAAAAAATGGAAGAAATCTGACTTCGAGACTTAAAAATTCTTAAAATTTTCGCCTGCGGCGCTAGTAAGGCTTCTTTACCTTCCAAAATTTTCAATATTTTTGCCGTGATTCAAAAAATCGGAATTTTTGGCGCCGAAGGCGCCAAAAATTTTTTTATTGCTAATTCCCGACTCCCGATCCCGACTCCCGAGGTCATTTCCCGACCCGACTCCCGTTTCCCGATTCCCGGGTTTTTTCTTCTCCCGAGCATCACTAATGTATATCACTCATTTATTAGAAATAAACGTTAATTTTATTTTTAAGTTTTTTACTTTGTTTCGTATCAAAAAGCAATTTCTCCAAACTCTTTTGATTTTCTGTTAATAATAAATATATTTAAATAAATAATTATTCAATCTACCTTTAAACTTGAGGTTTTAAAATATAAACAAATTTTATCTATAAACTCATTAACATTGTTGAAAGTTTTTACATTTGTACTTTGTGAATTGGTGTTGGAACTACTCGGATAGTCTAGCTGAAAAATATTTTTCAATAATTTGGCTAATTATGAAACCTGGAAAGAAATATAACGGCTAGAAGGAAATAGATATTGGTGGCTAGGTGCTGATGTTTGGGGAGTTGTATATGGGCCTATAAAAGTTTCAAGAGTGTTTCCATCATATGTTGAATGATTATTGTTCATTTGTTGGTTATAATTCAAATAATCATGATCCATATTTAAAAATTCATAACTTTGCTGAATTGGCGACGGATTTATTGGGTGATTTTCAACGTGTTGGGAGAACGGATTCTATAAAAAATAAAATTAGATATGTGAAAAATCAGAACCTGAACATTTGGAATAAATGGTTGATGTAACAATGATGGAGAGTTATAAACATGCACAGGGGAATAGTCCATTCCATAATAATTAGAATTTTGTTGAGAACTATGCTGAAATAGAGAAAAGGTATTACAGGGTGACCCAAAAAGTTTAGGACAAAAGTAATTTTGCCATAACTTTTTTTCTCATAAATATTTTTTTATATTTTTTCGTTTATTTTGTAGCTCAATTAATTCTCTATCATACAGTAAAATTAAAGATTTTTTGATTCAGGATTAAGAAAGTTATGTAATTTTAGGTACACCATATCAAAATTTTCCCCCCAAAATTTTATTTTCTGTATCTCAGAAAGGAGAAATCCAAACGGGATGATCTTAACAGAATTTAATTAAGATCATTAGCGAACCAGACAAATCTGAAAGATAAAAACTCCAACTCCTACATGGATGGCTCTGAGTAGATGTAAATCAGTTTTGGGGGGAATGCGATTCTCTCATTTTGGGAGTTACGCGCAATCGAATACCTCTTTAAGCGTTAATCTAAAAAATTTTTTGCTTTATAATTTCTATAGATAAAGGACTGCTCTAGATGCCACAAAAATTTTGTGTAATTCCTGCAAGTTGTTCTAATGTTATAGGCAAAAAGTCTCAAAAAAAGGTGCGACCTGGAGCAATAATTTTTCGCACTTTCCTTTAACCTTATCTCAAAGTAGAATGGGGAAAATTCTAAAATATTTTTTTTATTTTATTCTCCATTTAGTTCTCTATAATTTCATCATTATTTGATCTCATTATCTTTAGATTGAATAAAGTTATGACATAAAAGGTTTGTCCTAAACTTTTTGGGTCACCCTGTAATTTAGGATTTTATTAAAATTTAGTCAAAAAACCTGAAAAGACTGCTCTTGATGACTAGCCGGAAATTGATGGGGGTGGGTTGGTGTTTGGTGAGTTGCATGCGGCCCTATGAAATTTTCAATAGTATTTCCATCATTTGTTGAATGAAAATGTTGATTTGACGATGATGGAGTGTTATGAACATTGAATGGAGAAGGGTGTGTAAACATTGAATTAACATTTGACTTTGATTGAAAATTCTATTAAATTCTAAACAAGTGTCAAAAAAACCTGGAATGGATGTTCAGATTGACTAGACAGAGCTTGTTGATCGAATGAGGTTTTGGGTGTAGCATATTGCCCTATAAAAGATTCGAGAGTGTTTTTATGTTTTGAATTATCATTCTCCATTTGTTCAACACATTTTGGGATTAATAAAAGAAATAGTAATTGAGTTATCAAATTTTTTGATAACATTTTTAAAAATATTTATCTTAATTTTTATGCTTGTTAGAAAAGCACTACTGTTTCATTACATTTTAGTGAACAAACTTCTTAAAAACTACTTCACAAACTCTGCCCATAAGACTTTAGGATTGAAAAAAGTTTGAATGACTTTCTTAGCGAAGGTCTTGTCACGGACTTTCATGGAAGAACATATCGAGGATTTCTTCAACGAGGAATCGCCTAAAAAATCAAAAAAGGACATTCAGGTAAATTTTTCTATTCCAGATTTTTAAATTATTCAAAAATTTGAAAAGTAAAGCGAGTTTGGCAAATTTATCAAGGCATTCACAAGCTCCATTCATGTAGGAATGGAATGGGTAAGGGGATTATGTGGCAAAGTAAAATTTAATTTGGCTTAGGTTTAGGACAGGAATATGCGTCATGTATGAAATTATGCGTCCCATGAAGTATATTTGTGTCCCAAAAAATCATTTTGCGTCCCATGAAAGTATATGCGTCCCAAAATATTCTTTTGCTAAAAAAGTTTAATTTTTGTCTTTTATTTTATTATCAAACTTCTTATTAGGAAAAAACCCCTTCTATTCGTTGTTGAGAAAAGCGAGAATAATTTTTTAATAAACAATTTGAGGTTCTAAAGATTTTTTAAAACATTTTTAATCATTTTTAAAAAATCTTTCCAAAATTTTATTATAAAAAATGTAAGAAATTTTTTGATTAAAAATCGGTATCTGCAAAAAATATATACAGATTTAGTATTATTTAATTTAATTTTGAGTAAAAATTTGTGAAAAATATATTTGGGAGATCAAAGCATAGTAACTAAACAGTTTTTATAATTTTTAAAGAGTATGTATAGTTCTATCCGGCATTGAAGTTTCCGGCATTGGAGCAACTTGATTAATATTTGAATTATTTTTGCATCGAAAAATTATTTGTCTGTAATTTCTTACACTCAAAATTGTTACCTTTTAAATTTGTTTTTTGAAGTTTTAAGGAAATATGCACTACTGAATAGAGGAGTGTCATTTCTGGAGGCACTTCTTGCGGGCCTTTGTTAAGGCTCCTATACTTATAGTATTCCAATTTTTCGTTTATTACTTTAAGTTTATACCTTCTATGGTTAAATTAAAATTTCATTAGAGTAATTTAAATCTTAATTTTAATTTACCAAAAGACTTTAAACTGTGGTTGACTGATATTGGAATAGTTAACCAAAAAGAGCATTTAACTGTGATAGCGAAATGGGTAAAGGAAAATAGTAATGATTAAAAAATAAGTCCACAGCTATGACACACCTTTATTAATGTCAATGATATAAATAGAAACTCACAATAGGATTTAAAACAGCGATTAACGACCCCAAACTAGAAGTAAAGAATATTGCAATAGACGAAGAATATAGACCAGGCAAATTAAACAGAAAGTTTAAATTGGTGAATAAAGTGGTGATATAGGTTATTAGAGGTAGAATGGCCTATAAAATAAATAAATTCTTCAAAATTCAAGAAGTCAAGACAAATTTAATTTTACCTGTGCCCCCAAAACAATACTCATTTGTTTATTCATATTACGTAATTGAGTCATTTGTACACCTTTACAATGCCGATAAACATGTATTTGAATACTTATTCCACAAAAAATAATTATTATATAATTAATTATTGTTAATGCTGAAGCATAATTTGCAGTAAAAATTGATAGGTCGTTGGTCTGTAAATGTTAATTTTTTAAATGAAAATTGAGGTTCTGTTAGAGCTTCCATTTTCCCATTTCAGAAATCTTTCAGGGAATGTAGGGAGTTTTCCGAGAGTCAAATTTCAAGTTCCAGCGGCTTCGAGAGACTCTTTTTGTGTCTAGTCTCATGTTTTTTTAACCCAATCAGGCATTATCTTACTCTCGATCTAAGTCCAACAACATAATTTTCAATTGTATAATTATCCAATCCCAATGTCTTAGCCAATTCATAATTAGTTAAATATTCGTTTTCGGGTGTTGGATAGTTTGATATAGAAGCACAAACATTTAATACAAATATTGGAATTATCAATCCAACAATTAATAATAATTGGTGTTTAAATTTAACATCAACATCGCTACATAGAAACGTTAAATATTTTTAAAGTTTTCAAGAAAATTTACCGAACGACAGTAAAATAACGATAAATAAATAATGTACAGACATTCATAGAGGTAATTCTTGCCATAAAATAATTTATACGAAGAAGAACGAATTGCCAAGGATTTGGTAAAAAATGTACAGGTCCATAACTCCAAGCTGTACCTGTGCCATTATCAGAAATATAAACCTTTTTAAAGAAAAGTTAAATAAAAAATTGTTTAGAGGAATCAGAGCGCAGAAAAATTTAAATTTAACATCCTATAATTTGGGTATTAACCAAGCATATATTATATTTACAAATTTTAAGAGGATTTAGATGAAACTATTAGGATATCTGTTCAAATAGTTCTGTTTACATTATCTTTTAGTTGCCTGAGAATGGTCATATGACCGGATTAGATAACTTATGTCACTTGTTCTTTTAATAATACGGGCCCTGAGGTATTTTGTCTAGAATTTTTCTTACATCTCCGATACTCCAAATATTTATTTACCGGTTGAGAAACAACAAACATACAAATCCCAACAATATCAACAAAACAAGTTTGTAAAAGTATTTTGCTATAAACTTGCATTTCTTTCATTGTATAACGTAAAATTAGCCAAATTAAAAACAAATTAGAAAACAATCCAAATGTAGCAAAACAATAAATTATTGTTGAATAGATTTCTCCTATTAACATTTTTTCTCTTGAAAGTAAAATGTTTTTCTTTAAATTTATTTTAATTATTTGACTAACATTTTTTAATATATGTACATATGTACTTTAATTAAAAACAGATGTTTTGTCAAAAAAAATTTTTGTTATATTTTTTATATTAGCTTTTTTGGTTATTTAGTGAAAAGTTTAAACTCGTCATTTTCTAAAAATTTTATCTCGATATGGACTTGTCACTTTTCATGGCATTTTGAACTTAAACTAGGAACTTATTTTGATTTGCCCCCCATCCTAAATAGTTTTACTGATCATCTTAATTTTTAAATTTTATTTAGATACCTATTTTAACGTTTTACAGGTAAAAGATTTGATCCTTAGTTAAGTAAGGAAGAACGAGATAAAACTGGCTCTATTTAAACGCCCAAAGTTTAAAATGTATTAAATTAGAAAATTAAAGTAGCACCCCTATATTTCAGTCGGTAGAGCACCGTGAGAAGGGTTGTCGGTTCCTGGAAATTCTTCGGAAATTCTTCGGAACCGAAGAACCGAACCGAAAAATCCTCGGTTATTCGGTTCGGCTCGGTCCAGAACTGACAACCTTACTTGTGAGCGAAATCATTTAGCATTAAATGCCAGGATTGTTTTTAAAACTTTTACCTTTTCTCTTTATTAAGTAAGTTTTTCAAGTAAAAAGTGTAAAATAATTTAGAAAAAGCTTTGTTTATAAATTTTAAAAGTATAAATTCAATTTTATTTGTCTCAAATAATTGTATAAAATAATTACTTAAAAATTATCCCACACTTTTTTTTGATTAAAAATTATTATTTTTTAGCCAGGTTAAACATTTATATCTAAACTTTGGCTTTATTCCCATGAACCAAGACAGGTTTTGTTACTGTAAGAAAGTTCATGTAAACATGTTTTTATAATTTGTTTTATTTTATTTACGTTTTGCTTTTAAAAAATTCTTTAATTGTAAAAATAAGGAATTAAGACTAAATAAATAAAAATTTAGATTCCAACAAATATTCCTTTTTATGTTGTATTTGAAAATAAATTAGCAAACATATGTAGAAAACACAATTTCGCGAAAGTTTTTTTAAAAGATTAAAAGGAAAACAGACAAAAACAAAATTAATACAAAAAGGGAATAAAATGAAAGATTAAAATTTTTTGGATTTTTTTATTTAATTTTTTATTTTTATGGGTTTTAATTTTTCTGATTTTTTTTTGTTTTTTTTTAATTTTTCTTTTTTCTCGTAATTTAAGCTCGAAATACGTCTGATAAGATAAAGTTGGTCAAGATCAAGACCTTGCCTCAGTTATCTTCAACCTCGGACATTTCCGCAAATCTGCTCCTAGACCTCAATCTCGGCCTTTCCAACTTTTGCAATCCTCTGCCCCTGTTTTTAAAAAAGACCTTGACCTCGACCAACTCTATAAAAAAATTAAAAAAGATTTAGGGTGTTTTTGGTGGTCACTGGAATTTTGGTCACCAATTTTTTGGAATTTTGATCACCAAACGAAAAAATACGAATCTTATCTAAAACTGATATTAATAAATTGTTTTTCAACTTCCAGTTGATCAATTTCACTGTTACTCATTCCTGGGAATTTTTTTGATCAAAATTGTAAAAAATCGAAAATTGATCAACTATAACTAGATCCGTTACATGGGTAGGCTACATTATCCGAACCCCATCTGAAACCCCCCTGACTTTTTTTTCAATCCGACCTATCTCAGAAATAATTTCAAAAGTCCAAACCATATAGGGAAACTTGTATTGAATTCATAAAATTTTTTAGATTATCAAAAGAAATTAGGCAACTAATAATATGGGCAAATTATCCCAGAAATTTTACTAAAACATCCAAATTCGTTTAAAAAGATCAAAAAGCTGTTTGAAGCCCAGATTGTAGGATCTAAGCAACAAAAAAGTTCACAAAAGCAAAAAATAGTAAAAATTTCTGAGTAGATTAATTTAGTTAAGGCTACAATCTATGTATATATTTTGGTGGATTATAACAGATTAAAATTAAAAATTTTCAATTACATCAAATAAGACCGGATTTTTCAATTCTCGTGATAAGTTTTTTGTAATCACTGTCTTCGGAAACATCAATTAATTTATCCTGACATTTGGGGCAAAAGTATTTTGTAGTGCGGTCATTTGAACTAGTCAACGTCTTGATGCAATCCAGATGAAGAATATGTTTGCATTTAACCTCCATAACATATTCCTCATCTTTCAATTCTTTCTGACAGAATGCACATTTTGTTTCATTTTTTGGCAAAGAAGAGTAGGGCACAGCCTTTTCTAAACCCATTCGGCCTATTTCCTCCTTAAAATAAATTGTTTTACTCTGGCCTGACTGTTATTGATAGCGCTTTCGCTCATCATATACAGGAGCTCTACCACTGAGCTACCGTGGTATCGAACTTTCTCTTTTATGCTTTTAGAACTTTAGAACTTTCTCTTTCGTTTAACCCCCGCCTAAGCTTTTAAATGTTCTAGGTGAATCATCCTTACAATACCAGTATTATGTTATTTAGGAAAATGATAATTTTGGAGGTCAACTTTTTCTTATTTTCTGACAAAATTGATCTAGCTTCCCTAGATTTAGATGGAAGGAAGCCATGGCCATTAATCCACCGCCATTATGCTTTAATGACCATTAGACATTTAGCACAAGATCCAGGATGAAGGAAAGAGAGGAATAAAAAAGAGGGAGTTTGAATCAAAATTGAAAAAAGTTAAATAAAACATACGACAGCTTTTACTTTCACTTCCTCTTCAATATCGTTTATTTTTTGTTTACAATGTTTGCCATAATCAGACAATATTTTGTATGCTTTTTCATGATTCATTTTATTGAGCTTATATTCGATTTCCTCAGCTTTAACCCCCTTTGCAATTAATGTACGAGCAATGAGGTCAAGGTGCTACAATATTAAAATAAGAAATTATTTTTTATTACATATATCTGCCAAAGTTTTATCATCATGGAAAATTTACCAGACTTAATGAGAATGACAAATGTAAGAATAATTTATAATGTGAACCACCCACAAAGGCGGATAATATTATAGTTCGTTACGTCTACAAACTGCTGCTTACGTCTACAAACTGCTCAATGGGTCTCCTAGCTTACCTATATTAGAGTAGACCAGCCTAGCATTATATGAGTAATTAAATTTTGACTAAATTTCAACCAAAAATATGTCCAATAATTTAATTTTAAATAAACTAACATATTTATAATCCAATTTTTTTGGATTTCGGCCTATATGAACAAACATATCATTCAGATACACACAATTGTTATAAAGTTTTTGAACTTCTTCCTTTGGTAACCCCATAAATTCGTGAACAAGTTCAATTAATTCGTTGTTAGGGGGTTTTAAAGTTAAAATTGAAGGAAATAAAATTAATGAAAAGAAAGGAATTGTTAATTTAATTGAAATTAACATTTTTTGGATGTTTGTTTGTGTTAATTTAATTTTAAAAATTTCTAAAAAAATTATTAAAATTAATATAGAATTTAATAGAATGCTTCCAAATTGCTTCCAATCAGCAACAAATATTTAGTATCACCCGATGTAGGCACTCTTCCATCAATAGGGGCATGTCTTCTTATAAGCTTCGACTTTTATTTTGACTTCGATCATTCAATGAAGTATTACTTATCAAGACAATTAAATAATAAATGAAAAGCCCCCCCCCCCTCCTTCGAATTTTTAAAATAATATTTTTAACATAAGTTTAAAAAAATTTAAGGAAAGTTACTAAAGAGAGATGTTGTTTATTTAAAATAATTTTTAAGAATGGCGGATTTATTGCCACTTAAATAAGCAGCCATCGCTTTAAAAATTAGCCGCCTATTAAAATTTATTTACATCCATGCCCTTTTAATGATGCACTTTAACGAAAATAAAATTTTGAAAGAGCGGAAATGATAAAAAGAAAAGGGCAAAATAGTCAATGCCATAACAAACTCCATTCACGTGAATTCACATTAATCGAATTTAAGCGGCAAATCCGCTTTTAATTTTTATTAAGAAATTTAATTATGAAATCTGCAAATAATAATAACAATTTGACCGACAAAATTTATATTTAGACGGTAACTGCTCCGTTTTGTCGTTATTTGATGGTGAATTAGTTAAAATTCTTATTTGAGTATAAAATTAACAAATAAAGGAAAACATACTCAAATCTTTTTTAATTTGTTTATTAGTTAAGCGCTCAGATTTTCCTTGTCTCTTGACACCTTCGGAATATCGGTTGTGGGTTTTGGGAATTAAGTGGGGGAGGGCTAAGGAGCAAATTAGATGAATAAAATAGGTTTAATTGAAACATTAATATCCAAAATATGAAATAAATGGGTCTGAGACTTGTCATACTGGGAAATTAAAAAAATTTTGAGTTAGAGATTCCACTGAAAATTTTAAAAACGTAGGAATTACTTGATTACTTTGTTAAGTAAAAGAAATTTTCTTATATAAATTTTTTTAGGTTTATGTGCCTTACTTCCCCCCTAATATTGACCTTTTTGCAGCCTTCAGTTCAAACATTGTTATCTATTAATTTTTATTTAATAAAAAAAGAAATATAATATAATTTTGACAAAAAAAAATTTACAAAATAGCATCACTTTGACTATGCTTAATTGAGGAAGTTTCTGATACTGATGTTTTTACCCCTTCTTTATTATTTTGGATCTCTTTTGCCAAATAACCATATTTCATATGTACAATAATATAATGTGCTAATTGCCGCCAAACTTTAGGAAAAAAAATTTTTCTGGAATTTAATTTTCCAAATTACCCCTTGTAGCGTCTGCCCTCTCCTGTGCATTAAGTGTGGGGGTGGAAGCAATGTGGTTAGTCAAAGCATATTCCATTGCATCCTTTAAATAAGTCAGAATTTAGTCAGAATTTTATTTTTATAAAATCAGAATTTCAGAATTATTTTGGTACTTATCGGTCATACTCTTGACACCTTCGGAACGCCAATTTGGTTTTGGGGAATTTTTGGGCGCATAACCGATAAGATAATAGACTGATGTGAGTGTCAGCCGAATGATCGGCTTTAACTTTTTGATGCTTGATCCAATTCAAATAAATCTTATTCATTCGAAAGCCCTCGATAAGAGGAATCTTTTTTCCAACGTAATGGATCAAGTCGATCAATTGTTTAAGAATTATAAACCGATCAGGGTTGTCTTCTTACCTTATTTTTGATCTTTTCGCCCCATTTTTCCCCATTCTTAAGTTCGCTTTTAATTTTCCCCCATTTTAGTGGTTTGGAAAAGACACCTTGAAACCGATAAATGTGAATTCACAAAATTATCAGGTTATAACTTTTAAATGAATGATCAGACTTGATCCATCCTATAGATAAAAGGTACACCTTATCGAGGGCTTTCGAATGATATTAGATTTATTGGAATTGTATCATAAAAAAGTTATCAATGATGGCAATCAGTTTTTATGCCGATAACTACCATTATTTTTAAAAATCAGAATTTAATTTAATCAAAATTCCTTACAAGGAAAATATCCCAATATTCAGGTTTAAACCCTCTACTGGCATATTTTACATGATTTTCCCCAATTTCAAAAAGTCTCATTTGAAGACAATCCTCCATATGATAAAGGTTTTTTGCTGCATAAGAAATTGTCTGAAATTTTAGAAAAAAATATTTTTTTATTAAAATTCAAATATACTTGGACAAATTTAAGTGCTTGAGTACGAAAATCAGCACTTTGCCTCCAATCATCTCCGTGACGGTGGATCTTGACAAAGAGAAGCTTGGCTTGAGGGTTGTGGTCGAAAATATACTATAAAATAAAGTCAGAATTGATTTATAAAATCAGAAAAATTAATCAGAAATCCAGAAATAAAATCGGAATTTAGTCAGAATTTAACTAATAAATAAATCAGAAACTAAGTCAGAATTTATTTAAAAAATCAGAAAAATTAATCAGAAACCCCAAAACTAAAATAAGAATTTATTTTTAAAGGATCAGAATTTAACTACTAAATAAATCAGAAACAAAATCAGAATTGATTTTAAAAAATCAGATTAATCAGAATTTTTAAAAATTCAGTATTACCGTATAAATAGTAGTTCCCAATTCATAGAGAAAATCAAAATCATCACTCCACGTAAGATTTACTAAATTCTAAAAATAAAATATTTAAATTTTAATTAAAATATTTTATTCACTCTTTCATATTCATTTGGACACCATTTACTTATCTCATCTTCTGTCCAGTCATCCTCTCTTCGAAATATAAGCTCCTAAATGAGAGAAAAAAGGGGAATTGGTTTGATTTTTAAAATTTTTTTTTAAATTTTAATTTAATTTTATTTTTTTACTTGTTCATTAGTCGCCGCAGTTTCATTTTTCTCTTCATTATTAACTGCCCCGTTTTGTTGTTTCTGAGGTTCAGTTGTAATAACCATTTCTGTGGGGTTGTTGGGTGAGGACATGGCTAAATAATTTTTTAAAAGAGAATTAAATAATTTTTTCATTTTCTAAAATTTTTAGAATTAATTTTTTTTGAATTTTAAGACCTTGGAAATTCGTAAAAAATAAGGGAAAATTTTTAAAAATATGTGGTATGACTAAAATAATTACAAAAGTTTTCCCCAAGTTTTTGAAGTTTCGCGTGTCATAACTTTTTTGTTTAATTATTTAAAATTTAATTTTCTTTTCCATTTAATAGAGAAATTAATTCTCTCTCGATTGACACCAAAATTATCCGAAATGGACCACCTAATCGGGAGTTATAAGGCTGGAACTGAAACCCTCACACATAGGGCTGTCGTTAACCGCTTTTATTTAAAATTAAATAACTCGGAAAGGATTTATTGGAAAGTTCGGATAAAAAATAAAAATAATTCCCAGTTACCTTTCTCTTCATTCACAGCTTTTTCCTCTTTTTCCTCTATTTTTTCCCCGCCTTTAGTGTTTGACCAAGCATTGGTTGCCCTAACAGTGGCAGAGTGTTGTTTAGCTTTTTTGCAAAAAATCCCACAACAAGACGGAAAAATAGATGAAGAGGAAGAGGTGTTATTATTGTTTGTATTGTTGTTGGGATTACTAAAAAAATAATTATTTTTTTATTAAAAAATTATTTATTTTTATAAGAGAAAGCGGGGGCAAAACATACGTTTGTAACGTATGGGCAAATGCTTATAAAACAAACAGATTAAAACCTATAGCCGTGAAAAATTGAAATACCATTGTTAATACTGTTAGCTAACAATATTTAAAATTTCAGAATTTTTGGGTGTAAAATTCAAAAGTTATAAACGAAAACGTTCAAAAAATCGTTAATTTTTCGCAAATTTTTGATATTTTCAGCCATAACATAAAAACAACTGGACCAAAAATTCTAAAAATTTTAGAAGTGTTAGCTATCCTTATTGAGGACATTTTTGCTAAATTTCAAGTTTTTAGCTAACATTTTGTTTATTTTACAAGTGCCTACGTGAACTCTTATGAGTAGAAACATTGCCTTAACTAACATTTTATGTTTACTTAAATATAACTTTAAAGAAAAAGTTTAATATTTTATTTTGCTTTATATCAATAAAAAATTAAATTATTAATTAAAATTTTAAATGTCAGGATATTAAATATTATATTAAATAATTAAATGCCAGGTGGAAACATATACAGGTGGAAAATCCCTTCAAAAATTGCCTAATTTTAATACGAAAATGTCTACTTTTCTTCTAAAAATTTAAGCTTTAAAGCTATATTATAGGGCCTCAATTAGATAAAAATAAGCTTCAAGAGGTTAGCTGATCATAAATCAATAGAAAATTTATTTTAACAGATTAACTTTTGTTTTCTTTTAAAAACAAACTTTTCTTCTTATTTTTTTAGCTTACTAATTTCCAGTAAAAAAAAGAAAAAAGAAATATTTTTTATTAGGTAAGCATGGAAAAAAATAACAAGCAAACATTCAAAAAAAATTTATTGAATAAAGTGTGCCTCAAAAAAAGAACAAATAAAGGGAAAGTAAAGGGAATTTGAGAAGAGAGTGAAAAATATGCCATAAAAATAAAAATATGTAAATAAAAAATGAGAGAAATTTTGACATTTTAGAAGCTTAAAAATTTTGGAAATTAAAAAAAAAAATTTTTACTTAATGACATTTTGGATTTTGACGTCTTTATTTGGAAAATTTTTAATAAAGGCCAGCTATCTGAGAGGCTAAAAATTTGTATTTCTATAACGAGTGGAGTTAACGGTTTTAAGAAAATCTTCGGATAAGGAATTAAATTTCTCCACATATTAGATTAAAATAATCTTCGATAAGTGGGATAATTTATAACTTAATAGAAAATTATTTTAATAGATTACCGTATATACTCTATTAATTACCCTCCCTCAAATAAATACCCCGCCCCTATTAGTTACCCCTTCAAGCAAAAGGTTGAAGCAATCTTCTTAAAATTAGTTATAATTGCCTTCCTAAAATAACCTCTATTAATTACCCCGCCTCTATCAATTACCCGCTCCAGAGAGAGGTCGAAACAATAATTACCCAGGGTAATTAATAGAGTATATACGGTAACTTTTGTTTTTTCTTTTAAGAACAAACCTCGTCTTAACCCTAATAACGAGGTGTAGGTTTATATCGCGCTGATTTAAATTAAAAAAATATGCCCTTTAAAAATTTGAAAAATATGCCCTTTACCATATATATAGTGCGTGTCATAACTATACGTCCACTCAAGATTTTGGGTTTATTACATTAAAATGCGATAGAATTAATTAAAATATATTAAATGGGGATAAGACGATCCTATTCCTACTAGCTTAACTAAGCATTCAAGTATTTATCAACAAATATAGTGAGCTTTTGAAATTTATGAATTATTGAATTTTGAAATTATTTGAATTTTGAAATTATTGAATGCTTAGTTAAGCTAGTAGGAATAGGATCGTCTTATCCCCATTTAATATATTTTAATTAATTCTATCGCATTTTAATGTAATAAACCCAAAATCTTGAGTGGACGTATAGTTATGACGCGCACTGTATGTACTCTATTAACCTAAAAAACGGTCTGTCTACAATTTTAAACTTTAAAAATATTTTAATAAAAATTTAAATCACTAAAATAAGAAAATTTTATGGAATTCGAGTAGCTTGAGAACTCTTATTTGAAGATAAAAAAGACCCTTGGGATTTTGTATAAAGATAAATATGAATAATAAATAGACGTGTATTTATTTTTCTATTTTTTTGAAATAAGAGAGTAAATAAAAAATAAAAAATATTTTTCAACTTTTGTTGAAAACACGAAAAAAGAGCAGTTATAGAAGAGTAGGATCAGCTGAGTTCTAAATTCCATAACTTTTAAATGGAAAGTCCACCTCTAATTTTATTTTGGTTTCATTCGATAGACGAGAAAATTTGCTACAAAATAGTTAAAAGTTAGAATTGTTGTGTTTCGAACAGAAAAGTTCTGATCAAAAAAAAATTAAAATTTCTGAAGGAAAATGACTGTATTTTCTTTCATAATATGTATGTAGAACAAAGAAACTTTTAGATAATTTCTTATACTTGATCAATTTTTTCTCAAATATTTAGGATTTAAAATTTGATTCCTTGTTCTGTTAAAAAAACCAAATTAATTTTTACCTTCAAATTATTCGAATTCTTCTACAACATAATACATATTCCTATTTCTGCTATTTTTGTTAGTTTATATAATCATAACCTTTTTTAAATCAAAAATTCTCAAATTTAACTATTTTATAGCAAAGCTTATATTCTCTATTAAAAAATATTTAAGAAATAAAAAATAGAAAATGCAACAAGGAAACAAAAGGGATGAAGCTTAATTAGTTTATGGGGACTCTAATACAATTTTACTTGATAAATGTAAATAAATAAATTAAAATTAAAAAATATTTTTTAATTAAATTTTAATTAAATAATAAATTTCTTATTTTCTTATTTTTGCAAAAAAAAATTTAAAAAAATTTTTTTAATTAAAAATTAATTAACAAAAAAATTAAATGTTAAATAAAGCTAATTTTTAATTATTTCCATAAAAAGGAAATAAATAAATTTTTGGTTTTTTTAAATTATTTCCCTTTATTTTTAACAAAAAAATGTTTTTTAAACAAGGAAGGAAATATTTATTAAAGGAAGCCTCTAATGAAGCCCTCTCATAAATAAACAAAAAATTATTTTAAAGGAAATAAAGTTAAAAGTAAAATAAAAGAAGGGATTTGTTTACAGTCAAATAACGAGTGATTTTGAATGTATTAGATAAAATTTGTTGTATTTTTATTTGAGATTTTTTTGTAACGACATTTTATTAATAGATTGAGCATGTTTACTAATAGAAGGGAACAGAAGTAAAAAAAGGAAGGAAGGCTTCCTTCCTTATTCACTTTAAGATTTTCCGTAATTGAGTACTTATTGATGATTTGCCTTATTTGTTAGAAATACACCTCCGATCTATTACAGTCCAATTTATCACTGGCTTATTAAAGTCAGATTCTCTACGCTTACAAATTAGTTAATGTTCTATGGTAGATTTATAATAGCTCCGAAAGGTGGGCTCCATGGCAGATTTTACAGCTCCAAATTGTGGAATTAATCCTTTCCCTAATTTAAATGCCTTACTTTTAATTTTTTTACAAGTATTTTTAAAGGTCTATTTAGATTATTAAAAGAAAAAAAATAATTACTTGTCATCTTTAGGGGTGTTAATATTATTATTGTTGTTTTCTTGTTGTTGTGGATTGACTGTCGACATTTTTAAAAATTCTAAAATAATTTTTTAATATTAATAAATATTAAAATAAATTTATTTATTTAATTGTTTTCTTATTTTCTCATTATTAAAATATATAAATCCACAAGAGAATTTTATTTGAAAAAATAAATTTTTCTATAAAAAATTAATAGGGGAAAAGATGTCATTATTGCCTTTTTTTACAATTACACATTTTTAAAATTAAACATTATTTTGCTTGTAATTACTACATTTAAATAAAAAAAGGAAGTAAAAATTGTGTGAAAATTAAATAAATAAATATTTACCTAATTATTACTTACATACATAGGTCATCAATCGACGTTTCAGGTGACTCATTTTTTGGTAGAATTTGAATGGCAAAAATTATTTTTGGTTAAACTTACTCCTTTGTAAAGGTTGGTAAAATGATGGCAGATCCTGAGAAATTCCCGGATATACAGAGCCGATATTTAAACCGAAAATTTCTTAATATCTGGATCCGAAAAATTCTATGCAGGAGTAAGTAATGGAAACACATAAGTCTGATCAACTGAATAAAAAAATTTGATCAACTGCTCAAAGCCTCGAAAATAATTTTTTACATTATCCGATGGAGAAATAGCTAGACTAGCTATAAGCTTTATTATTTAATAATATTTACAATTTTTACAAAATAAAGGGGAAAGTGTGTTTGTCCATCTGGGAATTTTTTTCAACAAAAAATATTTTTTCTTTTTTCATATAAAAAACGTGCCCTTTTAATATTAAAAATATTAAAATGACTTTAATTGTTAATTAGACAAATTTCTCTTTTTTTTTATTTTTTTCCAATAAAAAAAACATTTTTTGAAGTAAATAGACTGTCTTTTTATATTTAATTAATTTTTCTTTTTTTTGTTAAATACTAAAAGAACGGAAAAAATGAAAAAATAAAAAAATAAAATAGGGAAGGGTTCAAAATTAAAAAAAATTTGACGGAAAAAATTTTAAGCAAATTGGTTTTTAATTTTATTTAAATAAATTTAATGGTAAAAATATGTAGAGAGATATTTTTTGTTATTAAGATAAAATAAAATAAATGAAAGGAAAAAAATAAAGTCAGAATCTATGTAAATTAAAAATAGGGTTCAACCCCAGTCCTCGGGGAAGGGGGTTCATTGGGAACGGTGTGAGGCTCTCCCCCTGAGCTAGCGTCTTCGTCACCAATGCTAAAACCACCGCAATCACCGTCCCCGCGAAAACAGCCACCTCACCGTAAATGCCGAACCCTAATTGAAAATATAAAAATCAGAATTATAATTTAAATCAGAAATATTTATTTATAAAAAATACAAAATCAGAATTTCTTATAAAAACAATTTCAGAATTATTAATTCACACCAGAATTTTTATTTTAAAAAATCAAATAAAAATCAGAAATTCTGATAACCAAATAAAAATACAAAGTAAAAAATCCAAAGTCTGAAAATAAAA